CCCCCAATGTCCCCAAATGTCCCCAATGCCCCCAATTTCCCCCAAACGCCCCACTTCCTCCCAGTTTCCCCCCGTGTCCCCGATGTCACCCAATGTCCCTTTGTCACCCGCAGGCACCGCATGCGGGGTGTCACCACGCTGTGGGTCCCCCAAATGTCCCCCAATGTCCCCCAATGTCCCCAAATGTCCCCAAATGCCCCAATTTCCCCCAAACGCGTGTCCCCAGTGTCCCCAGTGTCACCATGTCCCTATTTCGTCATGTACCCTGTCACCGGTGTCACCCCATCCCCAATGTCGACTTCCCCATGATGTCCCCAATGTCCCCCCGCGTCCCTTTGTCACCCGCAGGCACCGCATGCGGGGTGTCACCACGCTGTGGGTCCCCGGCTGTGACCACGCCGGCATCGCCACGCAGGCCGTGGTGGAGCGGGGGCTCCGGCGCCGGGGGGGCCCCACGCGCCTCCAGATGGGCCGCGACCGCTTCCTGCAGGAGGTCTGGGCCTGGAAACAACAGTGAGTGTCACCTCCGTGTCACATTGTCACCCGGTGTCACCCGGTGTCACCCGGTGTCACCCATCACCTCCCCCTGGCCCCAAATGTCCCTGTCCCGGGGACTTTGTGTGCGAGATCTGGGCCTGGAGATGACAGCGGGTGTCACCTGGATGTCACCTGGATGTCACCTTGTCACCCGGTGTCACCCGGTGTCACCCGGTGTCACCTGTCACCTCCCTGGGTCCCCAAATGTCCCTGTCCCGGGGACTTTGTGTGTGAGATCTGGGTCTGGAAACGACAGCGAGTGTCACCTGGATGTCACCTGGATGTCACCTTGTCACCCGGTGTCACCCGGTGTCACCCATCACCTCCCCCTGGCCCCGAATGTCCCTGTCCCGGTGGCTTCCTATGCGAGATCTGGGTCTGGAAACGACAGCAGGTGTCACCTGGATGTCACCTGGATGTCACCGTGTCACCCGGTGTCACCTGGTGTCACCCGTCACCTCCCCTGGCCCCAAATGTCCTACCCTGGGGGTCCCATTTGGCTCCAATGGGGCCGCGACCGCTTCCTGCAGGAGGTCTGGGCCTGGAAGCAACAGTGAGTGTCACCTGGATGTCACCGTGTCACCCGGTGTCACCCGGTGTCACCCGGTGTCACCCGTCACCTCCCCCTGGCCCCAAATGTCCCTGTCCTGGTGGCTTCCTATGCGAGATCTGGGCCTGGAAACGACAGCAGGTGTCACCTGGATGTCACCTCCGTGTCACCCGGTGTCACCCGGTGTCACCCGGTCCCCTCAGTGTCACCTTAACGTCCCCAGGAAGGGCGACCGGATCTACCAGCAGCTGAAGAGCTTGGGGACGTCCCTGGACTGGGACCGCGCCTGTTTCACCATGGACCCCGTGAGCACTGGGGACACTGGGAGACACTGGGGGGACACTGGGGGCACTGGGAGACACTGGGGACACGGGGTGGCACCTGGGGTTCCTCGGGCTCCATAGGGCACCATGGGGGTCTATAGGATCCATGGGGCTCCATGGAGGTCTGTAGGGCTCTATAGGGGCCCATGGGCTCCATGGGGGTCTATAGGATCCATAGAGCTCCATGGAGGTCTGTAGGGCTCTATAGGGGCCCATAGGCTCCATAGGGCTCCATGGGGGTCTATAGGATCCATAGGGCTCCATGGGGGTCTGTAGGGCTCTATAGGGACCCATAAGCTCCATAGGGCTCCATGGGGGTCTGTAGGGCTCTATAGGGGCCCATGGGCTCCATGGGGGTCTATAGGATCCATAGGGCTCCATGG